CGTATTGATTGCGCACTGATACTATCAGATTTCCTGAGAGTATAACACTCCTGAACACCAACAGCTGTGAGGGTTTCTTTCGCCAAAAGCTCATGCTGAGATTCGAACTCAGGTCGGTGGATTCAAAGTCCACAGTGCTCACCACTACACCACATGAGCCACTTCCAAGTGATGCTAAACAAGCAAATACAACATACTTATTCGATCCGGAAAGCGTTTGTTAGCTTATCTTTGAAATTTAAAATCCAATAAAAACCAAATTCACATGTATCGTCCACATTTAGATACCGTATATAGGCCAGGAAAGGACCCTAAGATGTATCAAGGCAAGCCTCATAACAGGATTTGGATAGCCCCAAGCATCCAGACACATTCCCCTGACCCACACATCCACTGAGACTCCAAAACCACACTGCAACCGCTCTGAAACCACTCCGTAACAGATGCTATAGAGATGAGGGCATATATATTGAAGTTAATCCCGCCATATGTTGCCATTAATGCGTTATCATCGAAATATGTGTTGCCCAAGCACACAGTAGCAGGCATGGAAATGAAGAGCGCGTTTGTGGACCACGGCTGTGGGACACCAACTGACCTGGCGGCTTGGGACCGACGACAGCGACCTATAGGGATGGTGTTGATTCCAATACCTAATCCAGCACCAGCACCAGCACCAGCACCAGCACCAGCACCAGCACCAGCACCAGCACCAGCACCAGCACCAGCACCAGCACCAGCACCAGCACCAGCACCAGCACCAGCACCAGCACCAGCACCAGCACCAGCACCAGCACCAGCACCAGCACCAGCACCAGCACCAGCACCAGCACCAGCACCAGCACCAGCACCAGCACCAGCACCAGCACCAGCACCAGCACCAGCACCAGCACCAGCACCAGCACCAGCACCAGCACCAGCACCAGCACCAGCACCAGCACCAGCACCAGCACCAGCACCAGCACCAGCACCAGCACCAGCACCAGCACCAGCACCAGCACCAGCACCAGCACCAGCACCAGCACTGGTACTGGTACCAGTACCAGTGGATTCCACCTGGAGATTGTTTGCACAGTCGCTTGCAGCCCATCCATAAGAGACACAGTATGAGGTGCTGCACTGTGGAAAGAGGTTCTTGTACAAACGGATCCCCCTTAAAGTGAACATGTTTCTTTTACCGCAACAAGGTACTAACATTGTCCTTGCTAGGTGGGTTAGGCTTTTACTTGTCCACAGTGGTGTTCACTATGACGACGGGTGATCGCGTTACGTCGCGTTAAATTCGCGTTACGAGGCTTTAACGCGAGTTTAACGCGACGCTAACGCGATGTAACGCAATCTTAAGCACTGATAACGCACCGGTTCGCTTGTGCGTATGGCCTAACGCACATCATCTTTATTCGCATGCGAACGAGCTGAGTAATTTTGGCTGGCAGTGCGTTAGCTTAAGCAACTAACGCAAACTAACGCAAACTTTACGCGATCGTAAACGCGACCAGGTGACTTTTAACGCGAGCGTTACCTTACCTATAGATGTAACGCATACGCAAGCGAATGGCATACGCGGCTGCGACTGGTGCGAATGCGTATGCATATGCGAATGTGGCGAATGATATCGCGAGTTTTACGCGACCCTAATCGCGACCAGGTGACTTTTAACGCGAGCGTTAGCTTAGCTATAGGTGTAACGCATACGCATGCGACTGGTGCGAATGCGTATGCATATGCGAATGTGGCGAATGATATCGCGAGTTTTACGCGACCCTAAACGCGACCAGGTGACTTTTAACGCGAGCGTTAGCTTAGCTATAGGTGTAACGCATACGCATGCGACTGGTGCGAATGCGTATGCATATGCGAATGTGGCGAATGATATCGCGAGTTTTACGCGACCCTAAACGCGACCAGGTGACTTTTAACGCGAGCGTTAGCTTAGCTATAGGTGTAACGCATACGCATGCGAATGGTGCGAATGCGTATGCACATGCGAATGTGGCGAATGAATTCGCGAGTTTTACGCGACCCTAAACGCGACCAGGTGACTTTTAACGCGAGCGTATCGCCAAACGCAAGGGATTGCGAACGGCATACGCGACTGCGAATCCTGCGAATGTATGTGCTACCATTTGAATTTTACGCGAGTGACTGCGACTTGCGTGCGGGACTGCGAACTGTACGGCCAACCGTGCAATACAAAAGCTTTACAATAGCAGTACACGAGCTGTACAATGTGCAAAGTGCACCGCCGTTGCACATGACCTGCAGGTTCACAGCTGTGAACCACAGCACTCACTGCTTTCTTCATACATTTGAACTATCCCTGAATGACAGGTACGAATTCATAGCAAATCCTAACATGACCGATGCAACTCAGCCAGCAACTCTTACCATGGAAAAGGGTCCAACAGTCTAACGTCAGAAAAAATCGACACACAAATGTTAAGCGCATGTAAATGTACCACAATACAGCCACTATTGTCTTCTTATTAAAGCGCTCAATCCTCGCCTCCGCTGATGTCATCTTCACGAACGACGGCATAAATCTGCATATGAAAGGATCACAGCAAATCATTGTTTAGGCAGGAACACATAGTTGTGAGCATGTTACGTACAATGACGGCTGTAGGTGTGACACCGGCATAACGTGCCTCGAAATAAGGCAATAAAAAGCATTTAGTTAATAGCCATGGTCGTGCAACCAGAGGCTTCATACCTCCGAACGGCCGCTACGTGGCATGCCACGTCCCGTTTGAGCCCGACTCTTGTTCATATCCTTACCACCATCCTTGCGCTTGTCCTATTCCTTGCGATTCTCCTGCTCGTGTCCTTGGAATG